GCTCTAACAATCTCAGCAGGAACTATTTACTTAGTAGCAACTGGTTATCTATATATTAATTCAATGAACCATGGAAACGCTTTATACTTTTTATTTCATGAAATTTCAGTCAACAGAGCAACACTTGGGCTCATAAACTCCCCTAGGAAAAAGTCAGAAATGTCCTGGCCTTAAGAATATTTCCATTTGCATTTTCCTAATGAAGAGGAGCTTGGGCAACCCAGAGTAAGCGGTGGATGGGAAGGAAGCTGGCAGAGCTTGGAGGGAGAGGTGAAGGACAGGCATGGGAGAGGCTGGTTTTGCTTCACTCTCCTTGGGATCCTCAGGATACTTAAAAAGGGGATTGCCTGCCAGGCGGTGGTGGCACACGCCTTTGATCCCAGCACTCGGGAGGCAGAGGCAAGCAGATCTCCGTGAGTTCGAGGCCAGCCTGGGCTACAAAGCAAGTTCCAAGACAGGCTCCAAAGCTACACAGAGAAACCCTGTCTCGAAAAACAAACAAAAAAGGGCATTGCCATCACTTGCCCATCTACTTTTCTTAACTACTTTATCAGTTAAAGGACTATTGTCAAGCTCCAGGTAAAGGTTGTGCCTTAAAGATAGAACCTGTTCTTCAGAGCATTTTGGAAAATCCAGTGTCTGTGTCCATGCATTGAACCGACAGGAACTGACCTTCACACACAGTAATCACGGTGAAGGGCTTTTATTTTTTATTTTATTTTTTTCTGGATACTCTTCTTTTGCAGTTTCACACTTAATCTGCACACCCAGGCTCAGGGGAACTCAGAGCAGGGCAGATTTACCTCAGTAAAAGTGGGGCTTCAAGGGCTGAAGAGATGACTTAGGGGGTAAAGGTGCCTGGCCACACAAGCCTTGGGACCTGAGTTCAAACCCTGGAACCTGGCACTGTAGGAGGTGATGGCTGACTCCACGTGGCTCCACAGAGTGGTCCTCTGATCTCCACCACACTTGCACAGTGGCACTCACACACACACATGCGCACTCACACACGCTCAAAAATGATAATACAGTTGTTGGTTTTTTTTGTTTTTTTTTTTTTTTTGTGTGTGTGTGTGTGTGTGTGTGTGTGTGTGTGTGTGTGTGTGTGTTTTAAGTGAGAGGTTATGCGCACAGCCTGCAGAAGGCCTTTCCCTCAAGGACCCGGCTAATAACCCAACCCGAGTCACCAAAATCTTACATAGACTTCAGGCCACCACCTGTGGCCAGGTCTGCTGACCCAGATCCTCCACCACTTGACGGCCACAAGGTAGGGTGGACTTGCCCTTCGCTGACTCCTGTTCTTTCTTGCTATCGCCTTCTTCTTCCGGGTTCTCTTCCCTTTATGCAAAAGTGTGCCCGGGGTTAGGCCACTCATACAAAGGAGCCGCCAGGAGCTGTAGTTGTGGGGGAGGGCTATGCATAACAAGATCGACACAGGCTGATAAGCCGGCCAGCACGACACCGACACCCAGCCCTTGCTAAGACAAGCTCAGGTCCTTCTGCTTTGCCTCCTCCACTGGAAACATGCTTGGGGTGTCTTCATGGTTTATTCCTCTGCCCACTCGGCTCTTCTCGGGGCTCTTCAAGGCACTCGGTTACGAGGTAGGGCTTCCCTGACTATCTGGCATCAGCCAACAGTCCATTGCCCCTGCCCAGCCCCTTATTCTGCCCGGTCTGTCTCTATACCTCTTATCACACATTTGTTATCGGTCGCCACGCCGTACCCCACCCACCCAACACACACCCAGAGTGGGATGTACACACCAAGCATTCTTGGGCAACGTGGAAGGTCTCCTGCAGAATGAAGCCTTCCTTTTCTTCTGCCAGACAAGGTCACCAATCACAGAACACTCCTTTGAGGGAGAAGGGGGCACGTTAGTGAATTCACGGGGAGAAGCAGATCAACCTTCCAGAGCCAGTGTTTGCCTCCCAGCCCAGCTGTTCTAATAGCAATACCTCTTTTTCGAAACCTCTGTCCCCTAAGAAGGCAGCGGAACGTGTGTCATTTGTCTCTGAACTTTGTCCCAACCCTGCAGGGATCTATGTGACTCTTTCCAACCCCTTTGGCGTTGACGGACGTTCAGGCACGTAGGCTTTCAGAGGAACCCATCCCTCTGGAGCCGCACCACAGAAAGGTGTTCCTTCAACAACACAAAGATTTATTACTTTCTTCCCCCACAGAAAAACCACAGGAATATTTCCTTCTTGACTGCAGCAGCGAGGTCCAAGTTTCATTAAAGAACCGGCCAGATACTTCCTCCTCAGTGCCGTGGGAAGACTTCACAACAGAGAGTGTTTGAAACTTTACCTCTGCACACCTGCCTCATAACCTTACTCTCTTCCAGCGGGTCTTCTTCTGTTTCCCCAGGGTCAGGGCTTTGTGGCTGCCGACCCAGGCAGCTGGGGCTCTGGGTCCCCCTCTCCATTAATAAATGATGATTTTAATTCAATTGCACACCTGCCAGAAAGCAGGCCTGGCGATTCACAAATTGGCTGGAGTTTTTTGTGGTTGTGGTGGTGGTGTTTTGGGTTTTTTTTGTTTTTAATTTTTACGTGTTGTGGCAGGCGGTGGCTAACGCCTTTAATCTCAGCACCCGGAAGGCAGAGACAGGCAGATCTCTATGAGTTCCAGGACAGCTGGGGGCTGCTACGTAAAGAAACCCTGTCTCGAAAAACCAACCAACCAACCGACAAAACAAAACAAAAAACATATTGCATGCATACGGAAGTCAGAGGACAACTTTGTGGAATTGGTTCTCTCCTACTCCCCTCCCCC